CACGGACCGCGTTCCTTTTGTGTTTGTGACTACATGAGTGTTTTGGTTTTTTTCCCGTGTGCGGGCGCCTCGATGAGGGGGGCCCCGCGCAGGGGGAAGAGGGCGCGGCCACGCCGCGGGGATATGGAACTGCAGTTCGTTGGAACTGGGGCCGGGGGCAGGTGGAGCACCTCGCGGGGAACAGAGACGAGGTGCGGGGGGAAGGAAGAGAGGTAGGACGTAGCGGACCCACGGGGAAGTTTTTTTTTTTCTTTTCGATTGTCCTTGGATTTGTCGGTGTGTTCCTTCTGTTTTCCATCGGCGGGCTTCCTTCCGGTGCCGGGCTCACAAGCCCAGGCACGTGGCAGGGGGGCGGGCGCGCAGGAAGGGGAGAGGGCGGGCGGCGCGGCCGGCAACGTGCGGGGCGGCACCCGTCGCCCTCTGCTGGCGGCTCGTTTGGGCGTGTGGTCGCGCGGCCGCGGCGCCCATGACGACTCCCGTGACTGCGCGGCGTGTTCTCCGCCTGGTTTGTTTGATTTTGATTGTTTTTTTTTTAAAAAAGGACGGAAGGTGGGCGCCGAATGCGGTGTTTTCTTGTAGACCGTGTAAGTTAACAATCTGTTTTTTTTTGTTGTGTGTGTTTTTTTTTATTTTATTTTTTTCTGAGTGTCTGCATGAAAGTGGATGCCAGGCCGTTTGCTTCTGCGCTTGATGTTTTGCCCGTCTGCCACATATTTTTATTGTCTTTTGGAGAAGTCACACAGTTGTCTCGTGCACGCACGCTCCACGACGCATGATTCGCCGTCACTGATGGCCAGCCTGTGAGTGATGCGGTGCTCGTTTTTGGTGCGTTGCCTTGCAGGAATGCAGAGGCGTGGCCGGCGTTGGAGCGGCAGCGGCGTTAGACGCAATGCACGCCGACGTCGGCTGCACGCTGCCCCAATGAGTGGCGATGGCGTGGACGTTGGCGAGGCGTGCACCGTTGTTCCCCAAGAATGAGGGGACAACTGGGGACACGCTCAGCGCTCCTCCGCCTCCACGGAGGAGTTGTGGACGTCACAGTAAGAATTGTTTACGCGGCAGCACTGCGGAATCGCAAAGTACAAGAAAAAATTTGGAGTGGTGGAAATGACGTGCGAGGCGGGTGGATTTGTGACCGCCGACAAGGCGGCTTGCCATGTGGAGGCATTTGTTCTTTTTTTTTACTTGCAAAGGTGCACAACGCCGGGGAACAAGGGAGGGCGTGGCAGGAGACAGCATACCCACCAGGAAAAGCTCATGCAAGTGTCGGCTCTCTCTTTCATTGGCTCAGTTGATTTTCCTCTAGAGCCTGTGACCCGTCGTGCTCGCTTGAATTATTTCCCTTTGCGTCTACGGGGCCTTATGTCTTGTTGCTCTTTTCGCCGCTGCGTTGACACATGGGCGCGAGGTGGCAACTGCCGTCTTCACGCGCCCGCACGCTCCGGGGCGGCCGGGGGAGGTGCAGCCTGGGAGGACAGCGCAGGCAGCCGTGTGGGCGGCGCGGCCGTGACGCTGCTGCGCTGCAGGCTAAGTCCCCGCTCGGTGGCTGCTTGGCGGCGGTGCTCCCTCATTACTGTGCCGCAGCGCACGCCCCAGTTTGTTTTCCCACGCTCCGCGGCAGGGGAGGCAACTCTCCGCGCCGGTGTTGGGCCGCGGTGTGTCGCCGGCCCCGGCAGGGCCGCACAGAGGTGCCTCGCCGCGGCGCAACGCGCATTGCGGCTATTTGCTTCCCTAGCAGGCTGCGAGCGCCGTGCATTTCCCGTGTCCGTCGCTGCGCCCGCCGCCCCTGTCATTTTGCCTTCGGTGTAGGGGCGTTGGCCCGCGGCCCCCCA